CACCTGGGAGGACCTGCAGGAGATTGGCATCACCAAGCTCGGTAAGGCTCTGTCCCCAGCCCCTGCCCTCTCTTCCTCTGTGGCTGCTTGACCTGCTCCGTGTTCCCCTCTCAGGACACCAGAAGAAGTTAATGCTGGCAGTGAGGAAGCTGGCAGAGCTGCAGAAAGCAGAATACGCCAAGTATGAGGGAGGACCCCTGCGCCGGAAGGCACCCCAGTCGCTTGAAACGATGGCCATTGAGTCACCGCCCCCACCTGAGCCTGCCCCAGCTGACTGCCAGTCTCCTAAGATGACCACTTTTCAAGACAGTGAGCTCAGTGGTGAGCTGCAGGCAGCCATGACTGGCCCAACAGAGGTGGGTGCCGCTGCTGCTGAGAAGCCCTCCAACCACCTGCCGCCCACCCCAAGAGCTACCATGCGGCAGGAGCCCAGCTTGGGTGGACGGGCTCGGCACATGAGCAGCTCTCAGGAGCTGCTGGGCGACGGGCCCCCTGGACCAGGCAGTCCCATGTCACGAAGCCAGGAGTACCTACTGGATGAGGGACTAGCTCCTGGAACCCCACCCAAGGAGGCCCGGCCTGGCCGCCATGGCCACAGCATCAAGAGGGCAAGTGTGCCTCCAGTGCCCGGCAAGCCAAGGCAGGTCCTTCCACCAGGCGCCAGCCACTTCACGCCTCCTCAAACTCCCACCAAAGCCCAGCCAGGCTCTCCCCAGGCCCTCGGGGGACCTCATGGTCCAGCCCCAGCCACGGCTAAGGTGAAGCCCACCCCACAGTTGCTGCCTCCAATGGAGCGACCCATGTCACCCCGCTCCTTGCCTCAGTCACCCACCCACCGTGGCTTTGCTTATGTGCTACCCCAGCCTGTGGAAGGGGAGGCAGGGCCAGCTGCCCCAGGGCCTGCACCCCCACCTGTGCCAGCGGCTGTGCCCACGCTGTGCCTACCCCCAGAGGCTGACTTGGAGCCAGGTCGGCCCAAGAAGCGTGCCCACAGCCTGAATCGTTACGCAGCATCTGACAGTGAGCCTGAGCGGGATGAGCTGCTAGTGCCCACTGCTGCTGGACCCTATGCCACAGTCCAGCGGCGAGTAGGCCGTAGTCACTCAGTGAGGGCACCTGCTGGCACTGACAAGAACGTCAACCGCAGCCAGTCATTTGCTGTGCGGCCCCGCAAGAAGGGACCCCCACCACCTCCACCCAAGCGTTCCAGCTCAGCCATGGCCAGTGCCAACCTGGCTGATGAGCCAGCTCCAGATATTGAGATAGAAGATGGCCGGCTGGGAGTCCGGGCACAGCGTCGGCGGGCCAGCGATCTGGCTGGCAGTGTGGACACGGGCAGTGCCGGCAGCGTGAAGAGCATTGCAGCCATGCTTGAGCTGTCTTCCATTGGGGGTGGGGGACGGGCTGCCAGAAGGCCACCTGAGGGCCACCACACAGCTCGGCCTGCCAGTCCAGAGCCGGGCCGGGTGGCCACAGTGCTGGCCTCAGTGAAGCACAAAGAGGCCATTGGACCTGATGGTGAGGTGGTAAACAGGCGCCGCACACTCAGTGGGCCTGTCACTGGACTTCTGGCCACAGCCCGCAGAGGGCCAGGGGAGCCAGAAGATCAAAGCCACTTTGTGGAAGATGGTGCAGCCCGGCAGCGGCCTCGAGGTCCAGCCAAGGGTGAAGCGAGTGTGGAGGGCCCACCACTGGCCAGGGTGGAGGCCAGTGCCACGCTCAAGAGGCGCATCCGGGCCAAGCAGAGTCAGCAGGAGAATGTCAAGTTCATCCTAACAGAGTCTGACACAGTCAAGCGCAGGCCCAAGGCCAAGGAAAGGGAAGCTGGGCCTGAGCCACCCCCACCACTGTCCGTGTACCAGAATGGCTCGGCCACCATGCGCCGCAGACCAGCTTCGGAGCAGGCTGGAGCCCCAGAGCTGCCCCCACCACCCCCACCTGCTGAACCCCCACCCATTGACTTGATGCACCTGCCCCCACTTCCCTTGCCTGATAGTGATGCCCGGAAGCCGGCAAAGCCACCCGTCTCTCCCAAGCCTGTCTTGGCTCAGCCTGTGCCCAAGATCCAGGGCTCACCCACACCTGCCTCCAAAAAGGTGCCACTGCCAGGCCCTGGCAGCCCAGGTAGGTACAGGGAGCCAGGAGGGTAGGGTGAGTAGAGGCAGTAGGACCCCAAATCAGAGGGATTTTCCTTTTTTTGGATTTGATGATGCCTGCCTGGGTGGGATTGGAGTGTTCACAGCCCTCTCTCATTCATCCACCACTGGCAACTGTCACAGCCCAGGGAGGGAAAAGGTGGACTTGGCTCTCAGTCAAGAAAGCACAGAGACCCATGAGCAGTACATCTGTGCAGGGAGGACCCTGACCCCCTCCAAGAGGAGAACTACTCAGGTGCAGGAGGCAGGGGAGGCTCCCAGGTAGAAGGATAGAGGTGTAAAGCCCTTAGGCATTCAAGCAACTGGAGGGCCAGTGTGGCTGCAATAGGTCACACGTTAAGGGGGTTCTGAAGCGGTGATGCGAACAGGTTTGCACGTGGCAGAGCGTGCCTTGGTGGCCGCGGGAGGGCTGGAGCGAGGGGCAGCGTCTCGGCTTAACCATGCGGGAGCTGGGGCGCAGCAGCAGGGCTTGCGCTCGCCCTGGGTGCCAGCGTGATCCTTCCCGCAGAGGTGAAGCGAGCCCACGGCACGCCGCCGCCTGTCTCCCCCAAGCCGCCGCCGCCGCCCACGGCGCCTAAACCCGCCAAGACCGCGACGGGGCTACAGTCGGGCAGCGCCAGTCCATCGCCCGCGCCCTCGCCGGCGCGCCAGCCGCCAGCCGCCCTCGCAAAGCCGGCCAGCACGCCACCCTCACTGACCGCCAGCCCCGCCAAGCCTCCGTCCCCGGGTGCGCCCGCGCTACTCGTGCCCACCAAGCCCCCGCGGGCCGCCGCCGCCGCTGCCGCCGTGGCCCCCATTGCCCCCGACGGCGCCTCGCCCGGGGACAGCGCGCGGCAGAAGCTGGAGGAGACCAGCGCGTGCCTGGCCGCAGCGCTGCAGGCGGTAGAGGAGAAGATACGGCAGGAAGATGGGCAGGGCCCGCGGTAGGTGGGGTACGCCCCTGGGGCTCGGAGGCGGGGCGGGGCCGGAGGGCGGGGCGAGGCTCGGAGGCGGGCGGGGCCAGAGAGCATGGCTCCGGGCGCTCTTCCTGGCTCACGCGCGCCGCCCGCAGCCCGTCCGCGGTGGCAGAGAAGAGCACCGGCAGCATCCTGGACGACATTGGCAGCATGTTCGACGACCTGGCCGACCAGCTGGACGCCATGCTGGAGTGAGGCGGCCGCCCAAGTCGGGCCCGCAGCGCCCGGGCTCCGGCCTGCACATTGACCTTTACCTCAGGATGGGCAGCTCCGGGCGCGGGCGGACCCGACGCGGGGCGGGCCGTGCTGCCAGCCCCCGCACAAGCACAACTCCCGCCCCTGGCCCGGGCCTAGCCTGCCTAGAGGGCCGCCCGGCCAGGGGGCCCCAAGGGCTCTGGGCAGACGCACCGCCCCGCGATGCCCGTCCCTATCTGCTGCTCCCTGTGCAATAACTGCTGGGCCCTGCTGCCCGCGCCAGCCCAGGCCGGTCCCCGTGGGTGCGGGTGAAGAGCAGCCTCTCCCTTGCTCAAGAGGAAAAGGGAGGGGACAGCCGCTGTGGCCCCCTCCCCAATCTATGGCACAGCACAGGCCCTTGCCCAGCACAGAACTGCCCTTTGGGGGACCTCTGCCAGCCTCTCGGGGCAGCACAAGGGGCAGGGGGCCAAGGTTGGGCCCCAGCATATAAGCTATCAAGAGTATTAATTTATTGGGAATGAGCTGAAGCAGATTTCCCCAGAGAAACAAAAAGGTATAACTTTAACAAATATATATTTAAAAAAAGAAAAAAAATATTATTGATTCTATAGAAAACCATTTACCAACTGGAAGGACACTGGAATCCAGTTCAAGACAAAAGCTGTCAGGGACCCAGGCCACCCTGTGTCCTTCCCTTCCTTCCTCTGGGAGTGGCCACGGCCCTGACCACTAGCACACACAGGAGGCTAAGTCCAGGGAGGTTGGGGTTTGGCCCAGGTCTCTTCTGCCCTTCTCTATTGTGACTTCTCTGCGTCTGAAGAACTTGAAGGATGTGCCTTGCTCGCTGATAGTCTGTGTCCTCCATGCCACTGAGACCGTGGGGAGGGCTCCCTCTTGGCTGAGGCCACGTCCTGGGGGTGCTGCTGTGTGGGTGTGCTGTGTGTGCAGCATGGTGAATGGGGCATGTCAGCTGTGCATCAGCAGCGTGGGTGCAGGAGTCTGACAGGCTGCGGGCAGAGGTGGATGAGGGTGCACCACACCCTCCCTCCCCAGGGCCCTGCACTGGCACCAGTCCACCACACTGGAGTTCCCACAGATGCTCTGCTCATGGTCCAAGGCTGTGTTGTGTGGTCATTCTCACCCTCTCTCTTTTCCTCTCCTTTCCTCCCCCCCAAAAAAGTACTGACTGGTCTCCTCTATTGTGTTTGCTGATCCACAAGTGTTGGACACAACTTTGCCATTTCTTTAAAACAAACAAACAAAAAGAATTAAACCTGAAAACCAGCGACTGTGGTGCCGGCTGGTGGAGGGGGCTACTAAGGGGGTGTCCAGGCATCAGGCCCCTTCCAACTTTCACAACTGAAGCTTCCCCCTAAGTGGATGTGCTCCCCCCGGCTTCTCCTTGGTGGGCAACCCAGACTGGGGCTCCAGCAAGTGGGGAAGGATGATTGGGCAGGGAGCTGCTGTCAGCTGTCAATAAACAGCAGAAAACAGAGCTGCCTGGCTCACTCTTTGAGGGTATGTGTGTTGGGAAAAGTGGGGTGTGGAGGCTGGGAACCAAAGGGTGGTGAGCCTCTCCTGCAGGGAGGAAAGGTCCCCCCAACCTCTTTCCCTCAATGCTGTTTTCTGTAAATACCAATGTCCTCAGGGCCATGTGTAACCCCTGGCCCCAGGATGTGTCCCCACTCATGGCCACAGTCTGTGCAGCTTTTATTTCAATCAGGAAGTAATCAAATAAATCTATATACAGTCTAAAAACAGTAGAAAAGGTAAGTAAAAAGGCCCATAGTCCAGTTGGGGTGGGGACAAAGGGTCGGCTGGGCAAGCGTCGTACCTGGCACCCAGAGAAGAGCCTGGGCGTTGCCCTAACCGCAATGAGACAGGGCCGAGTTGAGTAGAGGGAGGTTCACGGAGTGAGGGCAGGGAGGGCACTGCCTGGCCACATGACTCTGTCTGCTCCTACAGGGCAGGAAGAAGCTCCAAGGCCACCCCGTGTTGCCAGCTTGGCTCAGACAGGCCCACAGGGAGTAAAGGCCTGGCCTGAATTCTGTTAGCATGTCCAAACCTGCAAAGAAAGGTCTGTTTAAGGTGCTGCTGTGGCCCAAGGACACTTGTCAGTCACACCTGCCCTACACTGGCACATACCGGGGGCCACTAGCTCCTCATCCTCTCTGTCCCTCCATTCTGTGCAGCCCCTTTGAATAGTCTGAATCATAGACACTGACCTTCACGGTGCTATCCACAGCTCCTGAGAAGAGCCGGCCCCGGGACACAGCCAGTGCAGTCACACTACCCTGGTGGCGCAGTAGGGTCTGGGTGCAGATCATGTTATCCATACTCCAGACCTGGGGGGCACAGGGGATGTGAGGGCCAACCCAAGCCCAGACATCTTCCCTCTGCACCTCCTGTTGCTACTGGGCCAGGATGTACCCTGAGGGACCGGTCGTAGGACGCACTGAAGACTTTGGTCTGGTCTGGTGTCGAGATGACTGCCAAGGCATAGACGGTTCCCACATGGCCTGTTAGGGTCCGCACCTGCTCCTTGGACTCGATGTCCCATACCTGAAGGGGGGTATGGGACAGGCACAGGTGGTCAGAGAGATCCAGAATGAGGAGAAGATGGGCCCTGAGTCAAACCTGCCCCTGGGTACTCAGCCCTTACATGGATGAGGTTCTCATAGGTGCCACAGACAATGTGGTGATTCGTCACAGCGATGGAGTAGACACTGCCACCAGATGTCTGTAGGACATGGATGCAGTCGAGGGTCCGGATGTCCCAGATCTATGGGCAATTGTCCCCACTTGGTCCAGGCCAGGAGCCTCACCCCCAAGGTCTCTGAAGCTCAGATACTAAGGCAGCCTGCCCACCCACCCAGGGTGTGTACAACTGTAGGGGCAGGATAGAGGGAATGCTCAGGGATGGCCTTGCAAGTATAGCAGAGGGCAAGGCTTGCCAACAGGGGGTAGCCTGGCACACCTTGATTGTCTGGTAGGAGCCACTGTACAAGTAGCTCTGGGCTGCCACCAGGGCCCGCACCCAGTGGTTGAGGCCTGTGAGCTCCTTCTTCAACTTTAGTTCAGTACCCACGATGTCCCAGACCTGTGGGGATGGCTGTGAGCATAGGCTGGGTCAGTGCCCAGTGCCCTGATGCTGCGCATGTGCATGCACACTCTTGCCTGTACCTTAATGGCCTTCAGGGAGCCACTGAAGAGCATGTTGTGAGAGGACACAAGTGTGCACACAGGGTTGTCATGGGCCCGGATGGTGTTCACCTTCTGCAGGTTCTGGATGTCCCACACCTAAGGTGGTGAAGGCAAGCCTTAGGACCGTCCTACTGCGTGAAGCCTGGGCAGTAAGGTGGGAGCTGGGTCTCCTCTCCCCATGCCTCCCCCCACTGGCCCCACTCACAATGATAGTGCAATCTGCAGAGCCACTATAGAGCTTGCACCTGGGGAAGCAGAGCCAACAGGTGAGGGAGAGGGAAGGTGCCATCCTTTCTGACAATGCCCTGGCTAGGGCCAAGTGAACCAGCATCTTGGCCTGGTGCCAGAGCCTCTGCTGTTTCTGAACCACATCCAGTGTGTGTGGGAACCTTGGAAGTGGCAGCCTAGCCCCTGGTGCCTGCCTGGCAAGCATCTGATAGCCGAGCTGGGCAAGAGTCACCAGCCATTAGCCCCACTGCCAGGAAAACTGCTACAGCTAGTGACTGAGCACCTCTGCCTCTTGATACATACTCACACACATTAAGGCCCACACATGGCCTCCCAATATGAGACCAGAAGTCAGGTCCAGAGAAAAGGCCCTCCCCCAGGGAAAAGGAGGTGGCCAGGAGATGCTCCATATCAGGGCCCTGGCTTGCTAGTGATGCTGATCTCCTGCCTCTGCCCTCTAGGTCTGGCCACCTAAGGTGCACCAGGGCTAGGGTCAGGATCTGTTGGGAGGCCAGTATGCTAACACACAACTCTGGAGACAGAACCACCACCCAGGGATCCAGCACCACTCAGGGCTGAGGGTGCCCTAAGGTGGAACAGACACAGCCACACAGGCTGAGCTCATAGCCCATGGGGCCACAGCAGTGCCTCTTGGTCAGTGGGCACACACGTGCCTGGACTCACCCCTGGATGCAGAGAGCTAGCACAATGCCGTCATGGCCCTCTAGTGTCTTCTGGCATTTGTAGGTGGTACAGGTGTCCCATACCTGTAGAGACGGGGTCAGAGTAGATCCAAGCAGAGTCAGCCCAGTGCCATGGGGCAGGATGGCAGGATAAAGAAGCCAGCCATCCGGGGGAGAAGGCCCTGCCTGGGCAGGAACCCACCCACCTTGATGGTCTTGTCAGAGGAACCACTGAAGAGCAGGTCACCCATGGAGTAGACACAGAGACACCAGACAGGGCCCTGGTGGCCTACAAAGGTCCCTTTGCACTTGAAGATCTGCTGAGGGTCGTAGGCTGCAGATGCAAGAAGCTGGTGAGGGACCCATGGGGGTCCAGGGAATAGTGTGTGGAAGCAGTAGGGGGCCATACTCACATCCTAGGATGCCCATGTTCAGCCTTGCGTTGATGTGGGACAGCTCATCCTACAAGGCCAAGAACAGAAGGGTGCAGCCATGGAGCCCCGCAGGCCTGGGCTGAGCAAGCGTGGCAGCAGCCCTCACCCAAATAGACTTCTAACTCCAACTAATTGGAACAAAGGCCAGTGGGGGAGGCCTGCCTGCTGGGGCCCACCTTCCTGCATCTCACCCACCTGCATGCCCAGCCCACTCACATTCAACATGGATGCATCCCTCCGGAACTCCATAAGGTCCTCGCTGAGTTTGCTCTGATTTTCGTCCAGGACATCTGCACAGCAGGAGAGAGGGTGTCACTGGCATCAAGAGCAGTGGCTGTACCCTGTACCCTGTGGGTTGGCCCTCACCAAACTTGAGCTCGAGGCTCTTCTCTAGCTGGTCAATCTTCTCAGAGAGCTTGCCCAGCATGGAGCGCAGGAAGGCTATCTCCTGGTCCTTTTGTGCCAGGGCCACATGCATCTCATGGAAGCGGTCATCTGTCTGCTGCAAGAACTCCTTCAGGCCCTCAAACCTGCATGTCTCTAGATGTGTCTCATATGTGTCCTGGTTCCCGATGAAGGTGCACCTGGGGGAACAGGACAGCTGCCCAATTGCTTGCCTGCCAGGACCCCGTCCCTGGCTTCTCTGACCCCAAGAATCCCTTAAGAATCCTCCCCTGCTGTAGCCAACACACACCAGATTCAGCTGCCCTCCCACCTGCCTGACCCCCAGCACCCAGCAAGCTACTTCCTGAGAGAAATCCAATCATGCACCCTCAAAGCTCTTCAAAGTTTCCTCTCTCCCTGAAAATAAAACCCACAGTGCTTATTGGTTTCCCTGCCCTGAAGAGCTGGATTTCTCTGCCTCTTCTCCCACCCCACCTCTCTCTCTAGTGGCAACTCTAGTCATCTGCTCAAATCTATTCCTGGGTGCTCCTTCCCTGACACTCCAGCTCCTCGACCCATCCAGTCCCCTCTGAGTTCCAATGGGAACTCAGTCCCTCCAAGGCAGCTGGACCTCGGCTATGATGACAGTCATCAATGTCCTCGGGACCAGCACACAGGGGCTCTCAGCTGAGGTGTGCTGAGGAGGAATGGGACCCCTACCTGTGCCCCCCCACTCACCCGTACTTGGAGTGAGGACACTTGATGTGCTCGCATTCTTTGAGGTGGGCTTCCAGGTTCATCTTGAGGAGGGGTGGGCAGCTAGGATTGTTGGGGCAGCGCACAGGCCTGTAGTCACAGCTGCCCTCGTGATCCCTGTACAAGAGTAGATCATGGGGCATGTGGGAGGTTAAGCTAGGCAGAGCCACATGGAGCCCCCAGAAACAAAGGTGCTCAGAACTCTCTGGGGGCTGGTGGCTACTTACTTTCGGGCACTAAGCTTGATGGTGAAGGGGCACCCCCGGGGGTCCACCTCGAAGACACTGGGCTTCCCTGCACCCACCACACGGCAGCCGTGCCTGCAGTGGATGAAGAGCTCCCCAATTTGTTCGGCCACTGCGATGTTGTTCACCACCACTGTCAGCTTGGCATTGTCCACGGGACACTTCTCTGGGGGAGGAGGGCATGCTGTTCCCATAGCCTGCCCAGCAACCCCATCCCTGGTAGCTCTGCCCAGTGCAAGCTGAATCCCACTGAGGCAGGAGAGCAAAGTGGAAGGACCAGGTATGCGTGAGCCCACTAAGTGCATGATCCACCCATCTATGACCTACTGAGGTGCCTGGCACAGGAACAGGTGAAGGGCTGGGCCACCCAGAATGACAAGCAGGTAGTGACAGGCGTCTCTCAGATAACCCAATAAAGTTTTTTTTGTTTTTTTTTTTTTCTTCTTTGATGGTGAGGGGGATTGGGGATTGAACTCCGGGGCACTTGACTAGTAAGCCACATCCTTGGCCCTATTTTATATATTCTTTTTTACTCGCTTTTGCCGAGTCTGGCTGTGAACTTGCAATCCTCCTGCCTCGGCCTCCTGAGCTGCTGGGATTACAGGTGTGAGCCACCACGCCCGATAAAGTCTTAAGCAAGGGCAAGGGGCCGAGGGCAAGGAGCGAGAGACAAGGCATGAGGAAGAAACCAGTCTGGGTGGCAACAGTATGGGAACAGCCACTAAGGGGGTAGGAAAAGGTGCTGGTGGGGACAGAGGTCCCCATTAGAGTACAGGTGCTGAATCTGGGAGGCCCCACCCCATACCCACTACATTGAGGTCTGAATCTGGAGACACTGGGAATTCTGGGTCCCACTGCTCCTCTAACGGAGCTCCTGAGCTTGGGCCTTAGTGCCTGCAGCACCACTACAGCCCTTGCAGAGGACACGCATGCCTGGACTGTGGGAAAGATCAGTGCGAAGCCAATAGCCTCTGCTGAGTGGCCTGGGCCACAGATAAGATGAAGGCTCCCCTCCCCTGCTGGGGGATGAGGTGGCTGGGTCTGGACAGGAGGGAAGAACCTACCTGACTTCAAGGCGCATCTTCTACAGAACGTGTGCTGTGGGAATAAAGGACAGATTTGGGGGATGGCTGAGGTCTTCTTCACCCCAAGTCAAAGCCAGTAGCAGCCAGGGTTCATCCCACTCCTTGCCCTGCACCATAGAAGGCACCTACTAGGCAGCCAGATCAGGCCTGTAATCCAAGCCAGGGCTCACAGGAAGGGGCAAGCAGCCGGACGGAATAGGGAGGGAGGGTCCATAGGCAGCCTCACCCCACAGGTGGTGATCACAGGGTCCTTGAATACACCACAGCAGAGTTGGCAGCACAACTTCACCGAAGGCTGCTCAGCAAATACCAGTGGTTCCTGAACCGAGTGGGCAAAAGGTAGGAGAAGGGGAGGTGGGCTGGGGTGCTGACAGGGGCCAAGGGAGCCCCCCTCAGTCTCACCACCCAGGCTGACTGGCCCACCCCTGCCAAGTCCCAAGCTGCTCTCTGGGGCTGGAGGCATCTCAGCTGGGATGTCTTTAGACAGGCTGCTGAGGCCTGGGAGGGCCTTAGGAGAACCAAGGAGGGAAAGCAGGGGGTGAGGCCCCCAAAGGCAGGGCTCAAGTAGCGGGGGGGGCCATGTCCAGCAGTGCAGACAGTGTCCACACACACTGTCTGGGCCAGTTCTTGCCTGACCCTTTTCCTAGGATGAAGACCAAAAAGGGCCCCCACCTGGCTCCACCTGAGCCCCACATTCCCATTGCCCTTCCCTGGGCAACCCTGAGATGGGAGTAGAAAAACCACATCTCCAGCCTGGCCCTTCAAGTTCTGACACGGACCAGAGAGGACCAGAACTCCTGAGCAGACCTGATCCACTCTCTCACTAGGAGCTAGGCTTGTGTGGCCTGAGGGAAAAGAACCCCATGGCCCCAGAGCACAGTGACAGTTCTGAAGACCCTCTACACTGAGCCCACTGCACCTACCGGCTCCTCTTCTTCCTCAGGCAGTGAGAATGTGGAGCGCAAGGACATGCTGGACTCAGAATGCAGGGAGCGGACGGAGATGGCCGAGTCAGAGCGACGAGGGGTGCTGATGGGGGGCTGCACGGAGAGAAGCAGCTCATCAGGGGCTCCATACAAGGTCTGTGCAGTGGGGAAATGGGGCCCAGCACTGCAGAGACTGGAAGGGAGCAGTGTCCCTGGGATACCTGTGAACTAGCAGGTACTTTTGTGGGGGTAGCCACAAGCAGTACATGGGGAGCCAGTGCAGCCTCTGGTCCCCAGCCTGCCTGCTTAATCAGCGGCCTCGGTCCCTGGTGCTGGGCTGCCCACTTAGGACTGCCAACTTTCTTTGTGTAAATGGAGAGACTTCCTGCTATTCAATTCTACGAGGACACACTCGGGCTGCTTCCTGCTTCCTGAGAGGGAATGTAGGCTGCAGAGGGGGTGCTTCCAATAGCCAATCCTGGGGCAGAAGAGAGCCCCTGGATTATTGGATGGAAGGCTGGCCTGGGAGTGGCTGCTGGGCTCCAGGTGCCCACTAGGCTCAGCAGCCTGCCTAGTGTCCTGCCTAGGAGACTCTAGCTCAGCCTGGAATGTTTGCAGAGAAGGCAGGGATAGGTCCCCAGCAAGTCCTGCCTGAGTCTCCTGAGAGAAGGAGGCCAGGGCCTCCCTCAGATGCCTGTCTGCCTGAGCCTGCACAATGAGGGATTGAGGGGGTTTAGTAGAAGGGGACAGGCACTGTTCCTTCTTCCTTTCTGGGCCTCGGCCTGGAAACTTTCAGAAGTTTCCCAGAGCTGATGCTCTCTTAAGCCCTTCCTTCTGGGGTGACAGAAGCTTGCAGTCTCATTCCTTGAGTCACTACCTTCAGGAAGCAGCACATGCACACTGCAGGTCAAAGTCCTCCAGGCCTGGGCCTAGCTGCCTCTCTGCAAAGCCTCTGTCCAGCATGGAGGTGGACAAGTTGATCATTTCCCTGCCAGCCTGGGTGTGAAACCCCATGGTACACAGGCATAGCCAGTCCCAGGGCCAGACATCCCCAAGCGGGTGGCAGTGAAAGCAGAACCAGAAGGGAGCAGCCATAGAGCTCCACTCTCCTCTGCCTACCATTGGTGGACTTCTCTCAGGACCCAAATCTCCTGAGCACAGGGGTAGGCTGGGGGCTGCCTACAGGCCCAGAGCAAACACAGAAGGTGCTCACATTTCTTTAAGGCTACTATAATCCACTGGATGCTCTGTAATTATCTGAAACCAGAGAAACAGTGAATCTACTTCCTCCAAGGCCCAGGCTGGCTGGTCAGAGGTCATAAATGAAGACAGAGGCAGGCAGAGGCCCAAGTGTGCCTATTCAATCGATTAGAATTTTCTCTATTAACAAGGAAAAACAAATCCTGGCCTCTCAGAATGAGGAGAAGCCTTCGGTCCTGAGAAGGCCTGGCTGAGCTGGGAGAACCAGCCAAAGGCCATCAGCAAAGCTGCTGTACCAGCAAGGCAAGGTAAAGCAGAGAGCAGGCCCAGAGGAAGGCCAGTGTGCTGCCCAGTACTGTTGGGGTTGGCCTCTGTTCTCTGGAAGGCCCAGAGCCCAGAAACGAGCACCAATGACCTAACTGACAGGGAATGGCCAGCATGACCCTGGCTACCGTGCTGGACAACAGCCCCTAGCCCAAGTGTCCTAAACTCCTCCCTCCCTCACATGGCCAGGAACAGGGCTCTCTAGCACCCCTGCACTCATCTGGGGCCTCAGAGGCCCCCTGCTTCTGTTGACCCCACAGCTTAGGTCCATGTACCTTTCCTCACCTGCTCTCTCTCTCCCCAGGAGGGACCCCTCTCTCAATTCCCTGCCTACCCAGCAACCCACTCTCTCTACCCAGCAAGAGCACAGGCTTCAGGAACATGGATTTTACCTGGTCATTCTCCAGACTGAACCTTCTGTGGATCCCGTCTCACTTGAGACAGAGCCTAATGTGTCTTGTCCTGGCCCTCAGGTGCCACACCCTCCAGCCCAGTCCCTCAAATTGGCTGTTCCTGCCACCACCATCTGGTCAATGGGGCCTCCTTTTTGTCCTAGGGACTTGCTAAGTGTGCTCAGGGTGTCTACACATTTTTCGCTCTGCCCTAGTGTCAGCACTTCTTGGGCCCTGGGCCCCAGGAAAGAGAGTCTGAAGGAGGGTGGGGACCTACCATGCTGTCCTCCTCATCCCGTGGGGAGTAGGCGAGGGTGCTGGAAGAGGAAGGTGTTCTGCGGTGCTGCTTGTAAGTACTGGTCCCATCGGCTGCCAAGAAAAGAGGGAAGGGGCCCAGAGCTATGGAGGTAGGCTGCTGCAGGAAGGCCTGACCATGCTGTGCTGGACCTGATTGGCAGAGCCTGTGCAGCATGTGGGTCCCTGGGGGCTGTTTCTAGCTCTTGGCCTTCTCCAGGTACAAGAGGGTGCAGTAACAGGGTGGGTAGCTGGAGTTGCCCCCCAATATCAAACCATGCCGGGAACATGGCTGTGGAACTCACCCTGCCCATGGACAGCCCCAGAACTGAGTCTGGACACTCCTGGCCCCAGCCCAGCCTACCCTTGGAAGGGGCCTTCTTTTAGAGCCTCCACAAGGTCCCATCAACCCAGCCTGACCTGGGCTACTCCATGCCCCGCTGAAGTGCATAGCCAGTACCAAGTGATTACACCTAAGGTCACTGGCAGGAGTGTTTGAACTTCAAGGTAACTGCCAGCTGAATTGTCTGACAGCCTTGGTTCACAGGAAACATGCACAGACAGGCCAAGGGCATGTAGTAGGGCCAAGACAGCATGCTGATGGTCTGGGTCCTCCTACCCCTCTTCCTGGCACAGTCAGAACTAGGAAGCAGCCCCAGCCATTTTAACTTCCCCAGTGAAGGTGCTCAGCACCCTCCCTCCTCCTGCCCATATCATCCCTGCTATGCCTGAGCAAGAAAGCTGGACTGCCCTGAGAAGCAGGGCTGGGAAAGGCCACCTCATGGGCCCCACACTCTCTTCACTGGATGCACTGGAGTGGCTCCTATCAGCCTCAGGCCCAGCCAGGTCCAGATAGCACAACAACCAGCCCCAAGGCCTCAGGACAAGATCCGGCCTTCAACTGCCTGCCTTGTGATTGGGCCTCTGTTTCCCTATCTGTCACAAGAGTGGCCAGATAAGGCAACTACTATTGCTTTACTGATGAGCTCCAACACACCCTTGCCACTAAGGACAAGGGTGCAATAGCCCATGTTCCCCTCTGTTCCCAGAACTTTTGACAGCTGTAACAGGCACTGTGCACTCTCCAAAGGTAGATGAGCAATCCCTTGGGTGGGTGATTAGGAGTGATGTTTTCTTTTTTCCTTAGAAAAAAGTCACATGAGCCAGGTGTAGTGGCATATACTGTAACCCCAGAAGCTTGGTAGGCTGAGGCAGGAGGATTGTGAGTTCAAAGTCAGCCTCAGCAACTTAGCAAGACCCTAAACAACTCAGTGAGACCCTGTCTCTAAATAAAACACAAAAAGGACTGGGGATGTAACTCAGTGGTTGAGTGCCCCTGGGTTTAATCCCCAGTACCAAAAAACAAAAAACAAAAACAAACCCAGCCACATGACAAGAAAAGCAGCCTTTTCAGAGCCCCTAAGGGTCACCAGTAGCAGGAGGAGCTGGCATGAGAAGGCGCATCAGGTCTATCCAGGGGAGACCTTAGGAAGGCAATTAAAAAACAATTGGCTGGCACAAACCTAAAAGCACAGCACCAGAAAGGCAAGAGAACACACTCCTGCCCAAAGTCCTGGACCTGAGAAAAGGGCACTGGCCCCACACCTTCAGGAAGGACACTATATCTGCAGTGTCCTACAACCGCAGACCACAGTGCTGGGGTTAAGGGTCATGGATCACGACCAAGAAAGGATCCACGACACTCATGACCTGCTAGAGGCTAGGAGACGGGCTGAGGATGAGCCAGCCCCAAGTAAGGTTGAGAAGGATTGGGTGGGCCGGTGGTGTTGCCAGCGAAGTCAGAAGAGCCCTCCTGGGAGTGGTGCTAGGAAGAAAGGGAAGGACAATGCCAGGGGACGGGAGAAAAGGATGCACAGCAAAGGCTGAGGTGTTGGAGCAGGATGGCCTGGCTTCCGCCCAGCCAGGAGACATGACAAGCAACAGAGGCCGGAAGCTGCTGGTGCCTTCTCCAGGACCAGTGCCTGCCTCACTAGGAAGGCTGGCCTGGGAGGGGCCAGATTCCTCCTATTCACAGGCTCACCTTTCGTGATGGTGGTGACTGCTGAGAAGGCGGGTCCAAAGGTTGTTTCCATTCTGGTCTAGGAGAAAAGGAGGAGCCTTGGCCTTGTCCCCTGAGAGAATGTGGACATGCACTAACACACTTACCCGCAGACGGGTGTACTTATGTAGGGATACCCAACACCATGCTTGGGAGGTATCCCTGCTTGCAGGCCTGCTGAGCAGGGGTTACTCTGGAAGCTCTGCAGTCAGTGCCAATGACTGGAGCATGGGTATACAAAGAGGGCAGACCCTCACCCTTGGGCGCCCCTTACCCCGGTGCTGAGGTCTGGGGAGGGAAGGTTGGCAGGACCCCCAGAGAAGCGGTTGTAGCGGGCGCTCTGGCCTGAGCTCATGCTCTAGAGAGGCATCCAGGGTCCTTGGGCAGCGTTCCCTGTGGATGGAACACAGATAAAGGACTGAAAAGTGGGGGCCTAGTCCCTGGCCATCTGCCAAGCTGCCCCCGCATGATGGGCCTGCCCTAGCCGGTACACCACAGGACACACTGTGGCATGTTCCTCTCTAATACCAATTTTCAGGCAAGAGCCCTTCTGCCCGCTCCTGTCCCAGCCTTGTGACTGGGCTGCAGGGAGGCGGGCCCTCAATTTTACCAGTCCTCAAAGCCTAGCCCTCCTAAAAGCCCACAAAGCTCTGCTCCAGAGGGAGGGAGTCCTCCAACTGTGCTGTCACAGCTGGTCACTTCTAGACAGGTTGCTCTGCAGGCTGAATGTCCCTGGTTCCAAGTCTGGAGCTCAGTGGGCATTCTCTACCAGCCCACTGGGCTTTGTCCAGGGTGTGACACACATTAGACCTAGTCCACAGGGACCAGGGCAAGAAGAATGTTGTTTCCTACCATGGCAGGTTCTGTCAGGACCTGGCCAGACAGCAAGGACTCTGGGAGAAACCGTGGGGTGAAATAACTGGAGTCCAACTTTGCCCACACACGATCACATGAAGAAAAGTCACAGAAGAGAGTGGAGCCTCAGCTCTTGACCTCAGGTCACCTACACCCCTGACTGTGCCACTCAGGGCTCAAATGCTGGGGAGGCAGGGAGAAGGTATGTGGGAAGCATAGGAGGTCCACCAATAGAGCCTGGGGTGGGCCTGAGTGATCTTACCCCTCAGCAGGCCAGACCTACAGAGAAGAAGGAAGATTAGAGAAAAAAGAAAACACAGACAATAGGTCATACTCAGGACAGGTCCTGGCAACAGAGCAATCTCAGGCTGAGACAAACCCTACCTTGTGGCAGCCCAGCCACATCCCTGCAGGGGCACAAGCAATGCCAGAGGACGCACCCTCCCAAGCGGTCACTCTTAGGACTAGCAGCCTAGAAGTTAGGAGCCTATAAGGGTGGTGCTAGGATGGCACCATGTCCTGCCATGGAGCAGCAGCTGTGGTTAGAGCCACAAAGCTCCAGCAGATCTCCCCATAGGGAAGAAGGCTACATACCAGGACCGCATCATGAGGCACACATGTGCTCAATGACTTCAAAACCAGCTTTCTACTTGGGGGCATGACAGCAGAATGCCCACCTCAGGGTCCACAGCAGCAACCGGTTCCTGAGAAACTACCCCCAGCCCCACACCCAGGAGGTGGGAGAAATAGTTTCTGCCCCATGCTATGATAATATAGCACATGGGCAGCCTCGCTGCTTCCAGCACCTTGCTTCCCTCCTCCCACTCCAGTCACCTGCCAGCACATATCCTTGGCTCCATAGCATCCATCTCCTCCCTCCCACTGCACCAGCCCCATTACCCAGCAAAAGCTACCCCACCCAATACCCCCAGACCGAACTGAAACTCCAGGGCTTGGCTGTGTGCCTCAAACTAGGCTCTCTGGGGAAGGGCAACTGAGCTCAAAGGAGGTATCCCTGGGGCTTGTTCTGCCCCAACACGTGTCTGCTCCTAGCCCCCAGCACCGCTGCTGGCTTCCTTGCTAATCAGGAAGGCCCAGGACAGCTGGCCAGGGGTTTAGCTTGCTACCTAGCCATCCTGAACCCAGGGTCTGGAGGACTCACATTAAGGTGGCTCACAGGCAGCATTAGGAGACACTGACCTGGATTTCACAAACCCATCTTGCTCTCTCACTGATAGCTTCCAGGGCCACAAGGCCAGCTGCAAGCTCCAGCAGCCGGACCCCAGCAGGTACTCCCCCAGGTTCACAGAGAGGCTGCCTACCCAGGAAGACTACCCAACACCCCACCCGTTGTTCCAGGCTGGGAGAGCAGGGACTGGCTTCTCCTCACTCTGAGGTGAGGTAAACAGAAAGGCACGCAGGGCAACATGCAAATCAGCCGGAAAGTCCCAAAGGCCAATAGCGGCCAAGGCTACAGCACGACACAGCGACACAGCGGTGGTGGGGGAACTTACAGGACTGGCCCAGAAGCCACGCTGAGCAGGAAAGGAGGGAGGCAGACTGCTGGGCCTGGGAAGTTGTTTCCCAGATCACAAGGGCCCAGCCCCAACCAGGGATTGGGGGTAGGCAGGACCCGGGCTGGAGTCCAGCACCCCCATCTGTGTGCCCTGCCTGGAAGGCAGCAATCCATCATCAGCATCTCCAAATTGAGCAAGATGCTGAGGCCTCCCCTTAGCCCAGTCCCCCCAGGGACTGAATTTTGCAATAACTGTCTTCCCCAGAGTCCCGGGCCCAGGCTCCAGACAGCAGAGAGGCTCTGCAGGACAAACCCCTGGGAAGCAGATGCTGAGCAGCTCAGCACCCAGCTGGCTGGCAGCACAGGGAAGCTGTGTCCTGGGTATGCCCTGGCCCTCCAGAGTGGGGGTGGGGTGCCTTTTCCTCACTGCTGAGGTTCTTGGTGGGCAGGAAGTTGTCATCCAGAGTAAGAATTTGCCAGCGGTTCTCTGCCTCCTGGAAGCCTGGCCACCCTGGTCCTCCAGTTCCCAGTGCTGGGAAGTGGGAAACAGCTGTCCTCAGGACTGGTCCCTCTTCCAAACTAGGAAAAACCTTAGTGAGTGGGCTAAAAAAGGCTTTCCCCATCAGTTCCCTGCCCCTCCTTTTCAAGTCCAAGGATCATCTGTCTGTCTGTCAGCAGGGAACAGAACAGGTATTCTTTTCTTTCTTCTTTTTTGGTGGTACTAAGGATTGAACCCTTGAACCCAAGGGTGCTCTACCACTGAGTTATATTTCCACTCCTTTCCATTTTTATTTTGAGACAAGGTCTCACTAAATTGCCCAGGTTAGACTTGAACTTGTGATTCTCCTTTCTCAGCCTCCTGAGTTACAGGGATTAGAGGTGTGCACCACAGTACCTAGCAGGATTCTATCTTTTAAAGAGGAAAGACCCCAGAAGAAATGGTGCTGTCTACCTTGGCTGTCACCAGTTGGTAAATGTGACCCAAGTGTACTCAGGGTTCTGAGGCAGGGTGGGGTAGGTATGTGCAAACAGGGCAGAGCAGTCTCTCTTCCCCTAGTCTCTGCTCCACCAAATCCTCCACCTGGGGCAACCTCACTTGAGTTTGGGGTAGAGGCCCAGAGATTTTTGCCCATTCATTTCCACATCCAAGGGAGTTCTTCAGATCCTGGGAGTACTCCCTGGCCAATAAGACCTTCCTCTCTGCACACATGGAATGCAGCAACCCCTCTTCTAGAAACCCTGATCAGGAGGGTAAGGCCCTTTCCTTTTGCCCCCAGGAGGGAGTGCTTGGAGACAGCACAGGATCTGCTAGGTATCATGCTTGGGGGTTGGGGGAGTAAGAGACAGATCTCTAATCCTTTTCCCTTGGGACAAACCCTGAGGAGATCTGGGTCAGGCTTGGCCAGGATCCTTGCCTATTTGGACTCTATGGCTGGCAGCAGGGGGAGTGGACAGCCCAGGTGGGCCCTGTTGGAGAGAGGGGCAATGGAGGGAGTCTACAGATCCAACTCCCTACTAAGGCCAAGCCCACACTTAGGGCACTCCTCCTGCATCCTCAAGGGATTGGGGTAGGGGTGGCCCTATCCATTGAATAACATGTGCTAAGCCCTGAAGGAAGCAGGCACACCCTGAGAGTCCTCTTAGGCGTATAACCACCTTGAGAAGAGCCTAGGATGTGTCCACAGGCCTTAGCAAGCCTGAGCTGTGGGTGGCCAACTGGCTGGACAGCAGCCAAAGTTCCAAGCATGGCTCTTTGAATCATGGAGCCAGCCTAGGGGACCCACAAACCATCCCACAAGCTGACCAACCCCTGGGTCAGCCCTTGCCTCAGCTCTCCTGGCCCAAGCCCAGGTCCAGCTGCCAAACCCTATAGAAACAGTCCTGGTTGCCATAGCAAAGCCACATGCACTTCCCTGTCTCTTCTCCCAATGTCCCCTTAGCACATCTTTTCCATCCCAGACAGGCAGGGTGTAATGTCCAGAATCTCTGCAGCATCCCTGTTTTGCCTGCTTCAGGCCTGAGGATCCCCTCAGAACCTCTGTAGGCCCTGCGCAGAGGCCCATTTGGCCTCTCTCCCCTCCTAGCCCTTGTCCTCACCTTGCCTTTTTCTGTTTCCTGCACTCACAGACCCAACTATGTGGAAGCCCGGTAAACAGCCTTCCCTTCCCAGGGCTCTACACCCTTGCACCTTACACCCAGCTTCCAGGCCTGTCCTGCCCAAGCTAACCCCTCCAGCATCCATGGCTCCCTCTGCTAGAGGAAGAGAAGGGCCCTGCTCAGTCGCCAGGCTCCAACCCCACTGCAGTAGGAATGGGCTTTGCTGTCCCACCTGCCCCTGGCCTCAAACTGCCATCCTTTCTTTCCCAGATCTCTTGATTGTCTATGGTGTGGCGACTGGTCACCCCTTAGTCTTGGATTTCTGCAAGGCTGCCCCTTCTGCCTGGGTGCTCCTGGGGACAGATTCACCTCCACTCTATATCCTTCTGTCTAGGACTCTGAAGCATCAGGTCCCCGTATCATCAGCACCAGCCCCTGGTGGCCTTTTCCTTCCTCATCTGCTTACTTGGCAGCATGTTCCTCCAAGGGCAGCACCTTCTATCCTGGGACTGTCATACTAGGGACACAGAGGTCTCTGTCAAAGGGCAAGGGGTAGGTGGATCCCCCTCCAAGGGTCCTTCCTAACTGAGCCCTCCAGAGGGCTGATGAAGAGTTAGATGCCCACGTCCTGGTAAGGTAAGGCCTGTGAGCAACTTGGTTCAGAGAAAAATAAGTCTAGCTGATATCTCATGGGATTGGGTACATGTGTTCCTACGGACCCCTGAAGGTGTCCATCACAGATATGATGAGTGACAGAGTTGTCAAGTCCACAGACTCAGACATATCTGGGTTAAAGGGCACCCCTGACTCTAACAGATATGTGACTGGGTGAGCATCTTGCCCTTTACTCTGTCTATAAGACAGAGTAAAGATGTACCCACACCTAAAAGGAGCCTAAGAGTTAACAATATGATTAAGAATGAAGGCTCTGCTAACAGTGGTTCCTTTCTGAGAGCTGTGAAAAATGAAGGCTGGCCCATGGACCCAGCCAGCAGCCAGTCATGCCAAGGCTGACCCAAGCCCTGTTCCTTCTGCTTTCTCCATGACTGCCAGCAAACCTCGGAGCCCCACTGCAGCTTTGAGGCAGCCAAGCAGAGCCAGAGTGGCTAAATCAGAGTCCAGGCTGCCTGCATCTTCTGACCAGCAAAGCCCTTCAGCTGCATCTTCTTTCCATTTCCTGCACCAGGTATATTTTTCATCCAGCCAGCTGGTTGAGGCTCACACCCACTGGGTGCTGGAGAGCAGAGACATGTTGATGGCTTTACGTAAGTCCGACCCTTCAGGAGCTGGAAGTCCACTAGTCTCCATTCAGTCTGCCAAAGGCACTTCTCAGTGGGTACTGAAGACCCCATCTTCATTCATTTCCAAATCCCTTGACATAGTGCCACAGGGAGTTATTTCAAGGAAACTTTCAGGTTGGGGCACCACCCTGGCTGCTTCTTTCTGGACTGTCTCCTCCTCAGCCAAACTACACATATCCCTACTCCCCCTGTGGCAGCTTCTAGCTCCCTGAGACTGCAGCAAATAGGTACAGAAACCTCAGGAATCAGAGACTGGGGTTCCATGGAGAGAAGTGAATTCCCAGAGAGGCCAAGCAGGGATTTATAGCAGAAGGTGTGCCTAACACAAATCCTCAGAAAAGGGACTGGGGAAGGGAAAGGCCTAAAGGGAAGAAGTAAAGGAGGCCATAAGCCTGTTGAAGGCAAAGGGTGAGTATCCTAAAGGAGAGGAGGGGTGTGAAGGGTGCTGACATGAGGGTGCAGATGGGCTGGGCAGATGGAACCCCTAAGCATGTGAGTCTTAGGAGTAGGGTAGAATTTCACCTGACTCAGTCCCAGCTGACCACCTTGGCCTTGCTCAAGACAAGGAGGCTTGGGCAATTAGACTCCAAAGAGGACTAGGAGACATTGGCCCAGCCTCTTCATTCTCTTCTGTCCCCACTGAATTCCCAAATCCACCTTCACATACAATCAGGAGACTCCCAGACTTACACCTGATCCATCTCCTGAGTTTCACGTCCACCCCAGTTAGCTTGTAAGCCGAATAAAATTCCCACCCTGCACTGTGAAGCTGTCCTGCCTCCTCCACCTCACCTTTCCACCAAGCCCATTCTCACTCTGGGTCTTTGCACGCCTTGCTCCCTATGCTTGGAATGCTCCTCCAGCAATGTCCCAGGACTGGCTGCTTCTTCACCTGATCTTTGGTCAACTGTACAGCACTCATCCCCATTCAGGAGCCCTCAGTACTCATTTTCTCAGCGTCCTGTTTCTCTCATGATATATCACGACTCCTCATGTTTTTGTGTACTGTCAATCCTTCCCTCCTCTCCACACCAGGAGTTGTGCCGGATGGGTTGCAACCCAGGAGACATTTGCCAACGTCTGGAGACATTTCTGTTGTCACGGGGGCTGGGGATTACTGGCTTCCAGTAAGAAGCCAGGGATGTTGTTCCACATCCTACAACGCACTGGACAGTCCCTCCAAGCAAAGAACGATTCAGCCCGAATTGTTAATAGTACGGAGGGCGGGGAACCCTGCACCAGAAGAGCTAATGAGACTGGGATCCCGTCCTCCGCTGTCTCCCAGACGCCTACAACAGTGACTGGTGCCCAGATGAAGCTCAATGAGTACAAGAAGAGAAGAACCAGGGAATGCAGGAGCGCACCGACCGGCGGCCCAGCGGCTAGGCAGACCGCCGCACCGACGCGGAGACCCCGGCCCGTGTAGGCCCCGCCCCCCAGGCCGGGCCCCCTCTGGAC